ACGGATTTTTATTTTCGATATTTATCATATTTTTTGAAATAATTAGAGTCGTTGATAAAACGAATTTAAAGGATAACTGGAGTTCTATTTTCGCGATGAACATGGTTTTTGGCGATTTATAATCTGCTAATAAAGCACTTTAATCCTACGGATAGCAATTTTTTTCATCTTTTATAGAAAAGCGCCAAATTGGTAAAAAGATTTGTGTGACGTCACGAATTTTTCAGTGATTTAAATCGAAGTTAGGCATCTTAGATTGCACCTCATACCTTCCGGCGAAATTGACTGTTGCTTTTGTACCTCGCTAATTATATGGTAATTAGATGATTAAATATGCATTATGACACAAATAAAGGGGAAATTCCTTTAAATATACACCTTTTTACCATCTTGTCGAGTTTCTCGTGGCTTATACTTTCAGTGCGGGTATCTATAACTTTTTATTTTTTCCGCTGTTTTTTAATCCTACTGACCCCTCGTTCGCACGGCACATATGTACGGCAAAATGACCGAAACGTAATTTTGACCGAATGGAACGCAGTATAATCTGCTAACAAAGTCCACTATTCGTACGGATAGCTATTTTTTCATCTTTTATAGAAAAGGTCCAACTTTGAAAAAAGATTTGGGTGATTTAATCACTTTCGCAGTTCCTTTTATCAATAGCGGTTCCGCTTTAACACTTTTTAGACTTTCTATGAAAATTAAATTCATTTAAGCACGTAAATAACAAATAGGTAATTTGGTCAATAATGATCATAGTAAATACCCAGCAACGAATTTATTGCGATAAATCTTTATTGAATATAAAACATTAGGGATACGTCTCACAACAACAGTGAAGGGACTCATAAGTATCAGGAAAAGATGATTTTAAAAAATAGACAAAGAAATGTTGTACTTTTATATAAAATATACAAATATTTACAATAAGAAAAAATACTTTATTAAATAATTAATGCATAGTGTTGCACCTCCCCCTCAACTCATGTAAATTGTTCTCAGGTCTTGTTCTCTACTTCTTCGTGGATCTACCAATTCCGGGATTAGCGAGTTGTAATAAAAGTCAGACAACTTCTCCGCCATTTTGGTAGTCCAAAAAACGTCATCTCTACAAAAACAAATTAACATATCTTTTCACAGAAAAAATGCGAATTATTTATTACCTTTCGATTTGTTCCACATGTCCTCTGGTGTATACTATGAAGTAACAAATATTTCTATTTGTTATGTGCAGTTGCCCTTGTACTTGATAGTAATAGCTATGGGTTTTTTTCAAACACCATGTGTCACCTGGTTCCAATTTAATTAGGGTCATTATGTAAGGTTGAAAACTCTTCTTCCTTATAAATGTTTGTATGTTTCTTATGCCTGCCTAAACTGTTCATCCGATTGCGATGAAACTTTGGAAAATGGTTGAACGTATGCTTCCTAAGGTTTCACATATATTAAAATGCTTCCCAAATTCTCAACCAAACGGGAAAAACGGAATTTTTCTGGGAATGGGGTACGAGCGCGTGAAAAAGTGTTCGAAATTCTCACGGGACTACTGTAATACTAATTACTATACTAAATTTTATTTTGCATTTTTGGATATTAGGTACAATTAAATTATGTGAATAGTAAGTTAGAATGTTATTATTCTGACATTGCAAAATAAAAACCTAATACGTTATGCGGGACAGTATGTTTACTCTCGCGTTCCTGCGGCCGACATTCAATAGTAACGGATACCCCATTACGCAATCATAATTATCTATCGACCATATTTACTGTGTCCTATTTTTTAAATACGTTTATCTCTGAGATAACAGCGTGGAAACGAAAAGTTTGATTTTTTGACATGTGATCATATGTTACTACCCATGTAATATAAATTTTAGATCTTTTTGCGTAGAATCCTGTGGCTTAATCAAATTTTTGGACCACCGTTTCTGAGATTTGACCCAAAATAGGTATCTTTTAAATGGAACGCCCTATATCTATAACATAATTTTTTTTTCATTCTTTATCCTGATTACAATTATGTATCAGCATTATTGACTGGTATAGTTTGCCTTAGTTACCATGGATATAATAAAAAAACCATAATCTCTATTTAATCTGCTATTTGTATTTCAAACAATAAAAACTTACGTTTTTAATCATTTTCATGGGTAAAATTGAAAAATTTATATAGGTTGTGATACATCAGTGTAATTAGGACAAAGAAAGCAAACAACTGATTTTATGAAACATACGGTGTTTACCAACTTCGGATCAAATCTCAGAGTGGTCCAAAACTTTTTTTTACTAGTCCACTAGATTCTACGTAAAAATATCTAAAACTGACAGTTATTATTACCTTTCTTCTATTTTGCATGGGTAGCAAGATATGATAACATCACAAAACCTAAAACTTTCGCTTTCCTCCTGTATATCAACAAACGTAACTAGATTGCTTCGGTTTGTGGTGTCTCAATCTAAATTGGACACCGACCAAATTTTCATATACTTTATAATAATGAGGTACCTAACCATCGGCCTAATTTACAATCGCCGGTAATAATAGTGCACCATATGCAAAATATTGCTTTAGAGAAAAATATCCATACTTGAAAAACTCAAAATCCTTTGAATAAACACTAAACAGGAAAATACGTAAACTAATAGTATTTTAATTACCATGCAATAAATAAACAAGATGAATTTATTAATATCAATAGAAAAGCTCATTAGGCAAGTGTTATTAGGCTCCTTGCATTTATAATTAAATCCATTGAAAGGTTATAAATAAAGAGACATCAAATAGAATGGGACAAATTCAATCATCTCTTTCTACTTGTAACATGCTCTTTTGAAGAGGTTAGGCAACTTTACACACTCCGTTTAGCACAACAAATTTACTTCAGAGGCGCCTCTTTCTACTTGTAACATGCTCTTTTGAAGAGGTTAGGCAACTTTACACACTCCGTTTAGCACAACAAATTTACTTCAGAGGCGCCTTAAGATCTAATTTGATTTATTATTGCATTTAGGGGATCGTGAAAAAAGTCGATATCATTCACTGAGGAGAACTTATTTAAAGTGATCAAGATCTTAATAAGTGGGGAAGTTGTGTTGCTAACTGCAAAAATAGTATTATTTTGCCCTAGCTAGTTTAACAAATTGTGCAAAATTTGGTATGAGTAAAGGTACACAGTCTCATGTGACCAAGGTTCCAGACTTGGCAGCCTCGCGCTCACGTAGAATGACTAACGACTTTTATGTCAATAGTCTTTATTTGTACTAAGTGTGAAGACGGGAATCTTTTTTGTTGACTATGCCTCTTTTAATTTTGGTGTACTAAGAAAACGCAAAAATGACAGTACTCGTGACCTATTAACTACAAAACGCGGACTGGTATCTAGGGTTGAAATAGACAGTGGTTCACAGAACCAAGTTGGAGTTTCTATTGGTTCCACTGACAGAATAATACGCGTAGTTCAGCCTAGGTCACAGAACCAACATTTAAGGCACCATTTGAGCTTACTGTCATTCGTAGTAACCAATTAAACCCATCACCTAAAACCAGTGTCACTTTCTTTGGCGCACATGATAAAATTAAAATTTGAGTCACTTATAAGGGGAGGAATTAACGAATCCTTTCAGCTAACTTAATATAATTTACCTACTAGCAGCTTGCTTAATTATAAAACTTATGTTTCCAATTACAAATAATTGCAGCAGAACGATAGTTTCGCGCGGTTAAATTTTCATTAATAATAAAGGACATACACAAATCCGTGATTCCTAACTTTAATTTATTAAGTGCATTCGTGACCAAAGACCTCATCTGTTGCTTTTATTCATATCAAACCACACGCAAATTTATATAGGATTATAGCTTCTTGCAAATATTCAGTATACCTCTAATTCAATTAAGCAATATTACCTTGTAGTGAATTTTTCCTATACTGGATTCGCACTGAACATAATTTACAAAAGCTTCTAACCGCACATTTTTCCATCTTTTCCCTATAAACGGGTATGCTTCCGAACGCTTTCTTTACAAGTTAAATATCTATTTCGCGTTTTTCAAATACACAAAAACAATCAGACTATGTCTATTCCTTTATTAACTTAACCCTTAAGTACACTGGAAAATAGCTCATTGCCATAATGTTGGGTGGTGGTTCGGGTTTGTAAAACTGACGAGTAGAATTTTGTCTTCGGCGTAATAAAGATAGGCTGTTTAAGCGGATCATTTCTGGCACGCCCGAATTCTGTCCCAAGGATAGCGCTTATGATAATGACAGGAGATCACTGGTGTTTTCCGCGGTGGGGTATTGAAGAGACGGGTCCTTCACCCTCCACTTCGCAAATAGCATTTTAGACAACACTGTTCGAAAGTGTATGTTTATATTAGTTCACATTAACCAACTCATATCGATCAGGGAGATTTTTGTGCCGCCAACATCCGTATTACTAGAACCAATAAAATTTTTTTAAAAGTAATCAAATGCTGAGGGCTTACAACCTCACATTTCTACACGTAATAATGGCGTATTCTGTATCGAAACTAAAATACGGGATATTTTGTATTAAATGTTGATTTTTAAAAGCAGTAAACAAGATTTATTTGGATTTATAAACAGTAACTATTATGCTTTTACCATTTCTCACTCCCTACTTGTAGTATTTGGCAATCTAAAACAAACTTTAACCTTTTCCCTTCATTAATGTTTAGTAGCATTTATGTATCGATCGAGGGTTGACTTACACATAGATCGCAAACCTGAAACCTGAAAACCTTTAATTGTACAGTCAGTAATTAAAGTAATGATCCTCGGATTTTTCATCAATTTATAATTTTGGTTTTTGTAATGTATTACCTCCATTTTAACTATATGCAAAGATCATTATTTTTATCTATGACTGTGCCATTATTATTAATTTTAGAATTATAAAAGCGTTACTATAATATGCAATTGCATTTCCTTTGTTACTTTTAAATCTTAAAACAGTTATCGTTATTTCAGAAACGTTTCCACTGGCGATTTTGCAAAGGAAATGCGGTTGCACGCCTATCTTCTGGCTGGCCTACTTTTCCATGGGGTAAGTATCTGTAACACTATTAGTCGCTGCGCCATAAGACAACGCAAACGCTTCTGGTCCCTAAGCAAGGGATGGCACCACTTAGGATGTGGTCTTCCCCCTTTGGAAATCTACCCAGCTCAGCACACTACACACAAAATTGCGTTCAAAATGACAGCCCTTAACAATAGACAAATAGTTATGTAAAAACCGGGTGCCAAATTCTGAACAGAGCAGCTCTTCACGCGCTTTTTTGTTTGTGTTTATTACTCATTACACACACTTATTACTAATAATTCATTTATTCAGTAAACGCAAAGATTCTTATTCAATCGAAACGTAACAATACAAATAGCAACTTATGGTACCCACTGACCGCCGCCACTCTCAATAAGTTGTTAAATGTGCAAAAGTGAGATGTATCACTTCTCTGTGATTGATGTACGTCTAGTGATGTTAAATTACACGTTTTTTTTAAAGTGCGTGATATTACGTGTAAAATTACCAATTGTTTATGTTTTTTACGTAATTTACAACTGCAGTAGGTGTAGTAGTACTGTAGTAGCTTCCTTTTTTACCAAAAATCGACTGCACCAAAATTTCTCGGAAAAACACTTTTTCTTATTAATTGTGGTGCGTAGAATCCAAAACAATTCGTACTTTTTCGATCGAACTTCTCAATCAAAAGTTATGGACTAGAAACCGATTTCGAAAGAAAATTCAAAGGGCTGTAACTTTTGAACTAGTAGCCCAATCTTGGAACTGTTTGAAATTATGGATTCTAAAGGCAACATTCTATAAGAAAATTTTTTTCCGGGTCGATCGGAGACAATTTTTTCTTCGAGGCTCAAAAAAAGGCAGTGTATAACCTTCCTTTTTTACCAAAAATCGACTGCACCAAAATTTCTCGAAAAAACACTTTTTCTTATTAATTGTGGTGCGTAGAATCCAAATCAATTGGTACTTTTTCGATCAGACTTCTCAATCAAAAGTTATAGACTAGAAAACAATTTCGAAAAAAAATTCAAAGGGCTGTAACTTTTGAACTAGTAGCCCAATCTTGGAACTGTTTGAAATTATGGATTCGACTGCACCAAAATTTCTTGAGAAAACACATTTTCTTATTAATTTTGTTGCGTAGAATCCAAAACAATTCGTACTTTTTCGATCGGACTTCTCAATCAAACGTTATGGACTAGAAAGTACGTCTCCATGTGATAATAAGTCATTAATCGAGGGTGAATTCTATATATTTAGAACTACCTATTATTAAATAAAAGTTTCTCTTTAGGCGATCGATTTCGACTTTATTAGTGTCATCTTCAGGCCGTAGCGTCAAAGAAGTTAAAATATAATTATATGTGGATGAATGGTGGTAACATTAAGATTTATGTGAAATGATGTGGATGTTGATGGGGCGGTTGACTTTGATGTGGTTGCAATGTGAGGTTATGTGTGATCATACATACACCCTCCAGGAAAAAACAGAATGAATCTTCGTTACCCTACAACCTTCGTAAGATATTATATACTGGAAGGTATTACTGGGAGAAATTTCTACCCCCAGACCCCCGGGTGGTATGTTTTTCCTCGGAACGTTCAGCTATAAAGACTTTTCAAAAATAATGTATGCCATATTGCCATGGCATTAACGCTCAGCACGCTAGGAGTCGTTTTCCGCTCTTGTAATATAACTATTAAGCACCATAAACATTACAGCCCTCACACTTGACGAATCGTTATGTAAAAATGCCTTTTTATTAAAGAAAAACCTTCTTTTGAAGAGGAAATATACTTTTATGTGCATTTAAAGAGTGGCTTTATCCACCCTTTAAACAATATCAACAATATAAACCTGTTTAAAGTACCACAAAAATTACAGCTGTCACAATAGACCAATCGTTACTTAAAAGTGTAACATCTTCGAGGATATTTTGATACAGAAGCAGTACAATCCAAAAGCTTAATGAAGAAATTTTAGAAATGAAAAATTGTAGTTGTCTTCGTGGACTTTTTCTCTTAAACTCCATACCCCTACAACCTTATCCTGGTTATGGTCCTGAAATGCTTCAAACAGCTCACCTTTGCTTCATTTAAAATTAGTCATAGGTAAACAACAATTCAAAATTCTCAAAAGAAAAATCGATCCACGTTTGTAAGAGAGCTTTTCAAACTTTTATTATCACTTTTCATCAAATTCATTTTGTAGCTTCTCAATGAGTTTCCAGTTGTTCAATCCTTTATTTGCTGAGATGCACTTATAGCAAGGTATTTTTGAAGCCAAAATCATTGGGATAACAAAATTCTACCGTCAAAAATCAATTATTTTGCCTTGGTTTGCTAACTTCAGTGATCCTTTTTTTTTCTGTACGTCCCTCACTTTGTTGTTTATTCGTGAGAGTGGTAGTGAATAGTCTCTATAGCAATATAAATCGTGGCACGGTGACCCAATGAGAACATGAATATAATTTTGGAATAAACAAAGATTTACCAAAATCATATATTGGTTGCTCTGATTAAATGAGACTAAGGGCCAATTGCACCGTCAAAATTAAGTATCCCTTAAAGTTAAGCATAACTTAAATACCATAGCAACGATTGTCTTAATAATCATTGCCATAGATTTTAAGTTCGATTTAAGTTTAAGCAAGGCTTAATTTTGTTGGTGCAACTGGGGCTAAGAGAAAGAAGAAAGAAACGAAGAGAGATCTTATAAGATATAAAAAAGCGCACGTTCCTAAATAAACCAGCTTCGGTACGCCCATCATTATAAAATACAAATCCAACTAAAAGCCATAACGGTAGTAAAATAAAGCGTGTAAAAACGAAACGTATGGATAACAATAGGTGATTACATTTTGCGTTGATTGTTCACACTTTTACTTGTTAAATTTTCTTTACATTATGCATTAATCACTACTTAAGGTGAAATTGAATGATTATACCTACCTACATTAATAATATTGCTTGATAATCGCCTAATGCTACAAGATTAATTACGAAAATTAACTCTTAATTTTCTATTTCTTCACGTTTTAATATACAATTATTCACGCAGCTAAAATTGCACCTTAGTGTCGCATACTTACCAATTTAAACAACTGGTTACCCTGAAAATTACTCAGTACTAGGTAATTAATCGCAAATGTGAATGTTGTACGAACTTTGTAGGTTAATTTAATGTAATCATTCGGGGCGGTCTCTCATTAAATTATTAGGTTGTAGGAACTATAATAACTGTGCAACATTTAGGTAGATACTTGAGCGTATTAAAACAAAAAAAAAGCATTCGCGTAACTATAAAATATTGTAGCACGACAGTAATAACCCAAATATGACAGGTTTTTTAACTAGCTATAGACTGATTTGATGATAATTAATATTGTAGTTAATAGACAGTTTTAAAATATTATCTTTAATTAGTTGATCTGTAGAAATAATTAAAAAAGTGTTATATTCGTTTCAGCGGTTCTTTGGTCTATTTCTTTAATAGGCGCGTATTTGATTGTTTAGTAGGTAATTGGTTTCTATAATTAATGTTATATACGTCATCCGTCATTTGTAACTAAGTTGAGGATTCACTCTGCATCCTTTCAATTTGGAATATTCGATGTGAGTTAACCTGAAAAAGAAATGGGGGTAAAGGCAGGATGCTGCTCAATTTGATTGACTTACGCAAGAACAGCTCGTGCCACGATCGATGTCCGTTAACGGAACAGTCTTTCGCAATAACTACTCTCTAACATGTATCCAGTTTCCTTCTGTTGTATCCCAGTGTGTCAGTAGTTCAAACCTTACAAAAGTATTTTTTATTGTCGTTTATTTAATGTAGCGCAAATCGTTTAGCAAACTCTTGTTTGATTTCCACAATTGTTGAAAGCGCCATAAAAATGAGGAAAATGAGTTTTAATTGCGAGTTTGAGAGCCTATTCCGACGTGACTACAAGTTGGCCAACTGACCAAAACGGTTTATTTGGCGCGACGAGATTAAGTAACAGGTCGTAATTGAGCCAATTTGGGTATCTGGAACACGAAATTGTAATAATGATGGGGTGTCGGTTTTGATTGATCAGCGATATGACGGTGGTTGTGTCGGCATCTCGATTCAAGTATGTGTGTGGGTCACTAATGACTAAAGGCGGCCGGTCAAGAAACCGTTATCAGTCCGGGCCTGCCTCAAGCACTATCGAGCCTTAATGCTCCACATATTAATTAAATTCCAAATCGCAATCAAATTTTCTATTGAATACTAAATTTGCTCAGTATTTCTAGGTTAATTGTGTGACTTTAAAACAAGACGAATTTGTATTCCTTTAAAAGTGGAATTTATAGGACGCGAGACAGTTGTCTCTTTAAGAAACGAAGCCGAGGACTGGTTCGTGCGTGAAATGGTAGATAAGTACCGTCCGACTAACCCGTCCTTGCCAATCCGTTACATCTTCACGCGTACACTTAAAAATTCACTCTTGAGATCGAGAGTATTGCCGAAATTTGGGTTACGACTCATTCAGGATTTCCTGTTTCGACGCTTCTAAAGTTGACTTTTCGTTTCAGCTAGCGACTCTCAGTACTGGAGAAGAAGTCGATGTAGTCGAGGCAGTTTCGAATGTCGAAGACGAGCACGGCGTTCACGAGGACAATGCGAAAACGGACCAGTTGGCTTTGGAATCGGAGCAGGAAGGGCCGCCGAAAAAGTTAAGCTACAGTTCTCCATCAAGAAATCAGCAAAATCCTTCCAGAAATGGACCGGGTCATATCGGCCTGACACCCCCTCAAGTGGGAGGCAAACCTTACGGGCACAGCAAGCCGGTGTTCGACCACAATTCTTATAACGGCCCTCCGCCGCCCTTACCGAACAAGCATCAGGCGATGGAAAAATACGGCAGCGGTGGCGAAATCTGGCCGGCACCTGTACCTGAGATGCCAAAGATTATTTCACTAGACGTTAAGTGCGAGAAAAGCCTCATGAAAGTATACATCGGCTTTGACAAACCTTTCTACGGCATAGTTTTCAGCAAGGGTCACTATAGTAACGTTCACTGCGTCCATCTACCGGCCGGGCTCGGTCGAACGTCGGCCCACTTTGAAATCGGCATTCACGCATGCGGCACTTCCGGGAACACCGAAAACGGATTGTACGGATACGGCGCCGAATCGGGATCGGGAACGTACTTCGAAAATATCATAGTGATCCAATACGATCCGCAAGTGCAAGAAGTATGGGATCAAGCCAGAAAGTTACGGTGTACGTGGCACGACCAATACGAAAAATCGGTGACGTTCCGGCCATTCCCTGTCGACATGCTGGACGTTGTTAGAACCGACTTCGCCGGCGACAACGTCGGATGCTGGATGCAAATTCAAGTGGGAAAGGGACCGTGGGCTTCGGAGGTGTCCGGTTTGGTAAAAATCGGGCAGACAATGACAATGGTGCTCGCTATTAAAGACGACGACTCCAAATTTGATATGCTAGTAAGAAATTGCATGGCGCACGACGGCAAACGGGCACCTATTCAGCTTATCGATCAAAAAGGTTGCGTAACGAGGCCCAAGCTAATGTCCCGCTTCACGAAAATTAAGAATTTTGGTGCGAGCGCGAGTGTTTTATCCTACGCCCACTTCCAAGCGTTCAAGTTTCCCGATTCAATGGAGGTGCACTTCCAGTGCACAATTCAAATTTGCCGATATCAATGTCCCGATCAATGCTCCGATGGTAGCAACCTACATTTGCTGCACAATGGTATAACAGATTTGGCCCACGTCAGTCCAGATACGGGATACGGCGCCCCACACATTCCTCTACCTTTAGAAGCCTACCTGCAATCCGGGCGACCACGAGACGAACGCAGATTGAAACGTGCAGTTACCACCGACCCCGAAAAGGAAGTCGGAGTAAATCGAGTTATACGCGTTGTATCCACTGGTGATCTAACCTTCTCATTGGACGACAACGGAACAGCCACAGCTCCTACTATGGTATTCTCAACCAAAGAAGAAATTCTTAATCCCGGTCTAATTTGTATGACGACAGTTGGCTTTACAGCTACCTTAATCATCTTGCTCAGTATTTTAATAGGTTCTTGTCTCATGTCGACATTTTTATGCTTTAAATTGAAACCGTTTTCAATAAACAACAAAGTTGCCTCTAACTTTGGGGCAACGTCACCAAAGGATAAGAAGACCATGCCAAAAAGCTGTTTTTACTCGTAAAGATATAGTTTAATCGCGTTTATGCGAACGTACAGATCGAACAAACTAGGAAAATAACGTTGACGCTTTTAAATTAAGTTATTTATTATTGGCCACCTATACTCAAATTATGCTCCCGTAGCCGAACGCCTTTGAGTATAGCGTACCTAATCATGGTGAGACTCGTTTGAATATAGCCCCCACGGGGTTTACACAAACGAATGGCTCACTGATCGCCCGTTTGGTGCGGAACGCGTTTTTGTACAGTGATATGTATATATACAATTAGTAGTTTTATTATTTATTTAATTATTTAACGTACATTTTTGGATGTGGTCACGGTTGGTTACTGATACTGATTGTTTCTTAAAGTAAACGTATGAATTGAAAATTTTTATTATTTAATATCGTTTAGTTTAAGTTAGTTCGTCTTTTATACGTAAATAAATAAGTACCTGTCTTTTTATTTTTTAATAATATATAACATGAGGCAAAAATACTGATAGTCATATGCATAGTTCGAGAAAAAATTATTTATTTATTTATTTATTGAGATTATTTATTAACTAAAGTATTGTCAAGTTTTTTTTAAAGTATTCGCCCAAATTTGCTGTTTAGAATTGTATATTTTAGGAAAGGAAAATTAAGTATAATGAAAAGTTTTTGAAATTGTTTTTTTTTGTCAAATTGTCCGTAATATATGTAAAAATTGAAATCATTAAAACGTCACGGGAGGTGCTTTAGCGGCACATAAAGTGGCGACAAAGATAAGTAAGTCTGTCAGCCGCTATCAATGGGGTTCCAGGCATAAATTTTTTGTATATGCAAAAGAGGTTCGTAATAAAATTGAATTTATATGTATGGTTTTAATGACTGGTTGTAATACATTTTGAAATCGTTGCCTAAAATTAATTTGCGAGCAAACCGTCCTCTAAAATATTCAACCCAATTCCCTCACAAATCTCCCTATCATGATTTTTAATCGCAGAAAATTCACCCTCTGTTTGGAATATTCAGCTTTTCAATATTATAAATCACACCGCTGTCTCTTTTGGTTCTCGAGCTAGACGAGGAACAGACAGGCAGACGGACAAAACCCACATAACGGGAATCTTTTTTCTTTCGTGTATGTGTAACGGACTAGTTGCATTTACAGGGGTTAGAAACCTCTCTTTAGAAAATGTATTTAATTCTCTACGGCACTGGTAAAAATGCTACTGTGGCAATTAATCTTTTGCAATGAAATAATTAATGCCACGGCTGGCTCAGTAATAAATAAACTTTTAAATATTCTCACCTTGTGGAACGTTAGTTCTTTATCTCCTCGTATATTTGAACCTGAAACTCAAAAACCTGATGCTCTGTTTTGATCATTCTCGAATAAATACTCGTTTGAATGTATTAATGAAAATAACGTCCAGTTTTGTAATTGAAAATACTGACGTAATTCATGTACAGGGTGTCCCATTAATAATGGTCACAGGCCATATCTATGGAACCGTTAATTGCACAGCTTCGGGGAAAAAAGTTTGTTAACAGATAAATCGCTGGAAATTATTTTCAAGTTTGTAACTTCGCCGCTAGAGGGCGTACGATTCATGGTTAAGTAGACAAATGACTTTTTTCCTAAAATATACCCAACAAACATGCATAAAAAATATATGCATAATAATCTTGTATCAATTTTGCATCATTTTGATGGAGCGCAAAGTTCTCTAGCTCATAAAATATGTGGAGTGGAGGAAGGGGAACATCTCTTTAAGGAATTGATTATAACTTCGGATTAGGTTAACAGATTTTCACATAATAGGTCTTGTTGGAAAGAGCTCTCTTCGTGGAATCAGATTTTACATGAAGAGAGTCTATTTAGTAAACGTGGTGAGTGGTAGAGGGCGCGATGTGACATTAACATAAACTTTGCAAGTTTTTTTTTTAAATTTCAAATGTAACGATATAATTATTATATTATATTATCAAATAAGATGAAAAAGCGAGAATATCAGTGACAACCGCATTTTGATATCTGTTTTCTAAGCAGAGATATGGGGAAAATACGAACATTCACAAATTTTAATTGCAATATTTATATTCATCCAAGTTGGATTTGAAACAAATGAACGCATAGCAACCGATTATTGTCAAAGTGAATGAGGCGATGGCAGGTCAAAATTAACACTCAATCTAAGTTTTTTAATTATGAGCAACAAAATAATGATTCAAACTTTAAATCAGAGAAATATGAATTAAGTAAATAATAAAAGAAATAATAATTATAATTAACGTAAATGTTCAATGTCTGCCATTATTTTCGACACAAAGACGAGTCTCTGCTGTGTAGAGAGAACAGTTGCTTTAACTTCAGCCATGACTATGAATTACATTTCTAATTCTCGTCATCATATCGTTTCTTGTAGTTGGCCTTGTTAGAAAGACTGTGCGTCTTTTATCCTTTCAAACAAATTTAAGTCTAAGCAAGTTAAGTCGAGTGACCTAGCTAGTCATGAAAAAATACTTCCTCTTTCTATCCATTTGCCAGGATAACTCAAATTCAAACACTCTCGCTTACCAAGAAATGCGCCGGGCACCCATCGTGGTGATAATTCGGACGAATACGTTTAATGAAAGGACTGATAAACTTTCTTTTGTTCTGTTTTCTTTTGTTTCAAAGCCAACTTGAATGAGCATCAATATTGCAATTAAAATTTGTGAATGTATTCGTATTTTCGCCAGAATTATGGTTAAAAAACAGATATCAAAATCCGGTTTTCACTGATATTCTCACTATTTCACCTTATTTGATAATATCATATAATAATAATATCATTCCATTTGAAATTACCAAAAAAAACCTGCAAAGTTTATGTTAATGTCACATCGCGCCCTCTACCACTCATCACATTTACTCAAAGGACTCTATTTAATAAAATCTGATTCCGCGAAGAGAGCTCCTTCCAACAAGACCTATTTTGTGAAAATCTGTTAACCTAATCCGAAGTTACAATCAATTCCTTAAAGAGATGTTCCCCTTCCCCCACTCCTCATCTTTTATGAGCTAGAGCAATTTGTGCTCCATCAAAATGATGCAAAATTGATACAAGATTACTATGCATGTATTTTTTATGCATGTTTGTTGGGTATATTTTAGGGAAAAAGTCATTTTTCTACCTAACCATGAATCATACGCCCTCTAGCGGCGAAGTTAAAAACTTGAAAATAATTTCCAGCGATTTCTCTTGGCCCCTTTTGTTAACAAATTTTTTTTCCCGAAGCTGTGCAATTAACGGTTCCATAGATATAGCCTGTGACCATTATTAATGAGACACCCTGTACAGAACACTCAGAACATCAGATGGAACGCAATACGATCGGTTCTCTTGTACTACCAGTTGAATTGGGTTACTTTTAATTAATTAATTAATTTCGAAAGATGGGTGACGCAATTTGATTCCGGAACGAACCGTACTTCAGGCTTCCTTTGGTTTGATTAGTTGAACTTTGACTTATTCACGGTGATAAATTGCCGAAGTTCCGTAGTATATATACAACTGTAAAAAATGTACCCCTGTAGCTTAGCAATTTAACAGCAAACAAAAGCTTGGATTAATTGTCTTTAATATTTTTGCCGGTAGCCGTTTTGTTCATAATTTTGTTCGCACTTCATATAGACAGATGCACAATTTTGATTAATAAACTGTATCATTTTACCGTTTTAAAAATATACAAGTTCGTTGTGAACATCATAAGGAAACGCCTGTAACGTTAAAATCAAGAGACGTAACCGAGAGGTTTTAGTTACACAACATTAACATTCATATAGAACGAGTATCATTCAAAACTGCATCTACGATGGTGAAAATAAATTTTATTCGCATTTTGAGTTATCTAAACGGTTTCGAAAATTAAAATTCAAAACACACAAATCGTATCGTTTTACATGCGGTTTCGGGCGGAATTTTCGATAATTGACATTATGCGCCTTCCACAACTAGAATTGATTCACAATATGGCGCCCTAGCATATAATTCAAATTAAAAAATGATTTTTGTAAATTTGGCGGAGAGAGGGGGGGGGGGTTCACACGCGCCCTATCCCTACTACGCCATTGAAGCAAATGATCTGTAACTTACAATCCATGGCAACATATAATCGACAATAATTAAGCGCAGGGCAAATTGCCAAAACGTTTGAGTGTGTGATTATTGTGTTTGTTGTAATTGGGGTAAACTTTACAGAGTCAAACTATGATACTGGTCAGTTTAAATGTGAAGGAAATAACTAATTGGGTCAAATTCCACTGTATGCTAGGTATTTTTTCTAGCAAAATAAGGAATTTCTAAAAAAGTTTCAAACTAAAAGTATGACATCTTTTTTCAAACGTTTTAATTTCCTGCATACTAAACATTAATTGACGTAGGCTAAGGAAGTAGTATCTGTGATATAAATAGCATGTAGATACTTACAATAAACATTACCAGTCGAACTGTCGGTAACGTACGGTTTTAATGTCTAATAGAACAGCGATGGGAACAAATGTACGTCCATTCACCATCATACCTGGAGGGCGAGGTTTCCAAGAAATACCTTCCTTACCCAGCCTGGGTCGCATGCTCCCACCCGCTCTGTCAACGGCAGCTCCGGTGAGTCCCAACGAGTTAACAGCCCAAAAGGAGGCAAGGCAAGGGAACCAACGTACGTCATTCCAAGAAATATCTTCCAGACCACACACCCAAACTTCCGTAGACAGCAAATGAGATCTGATCGGCTTATGAAACTTCTCCAGAACACACGGGCCGAACTGGATGAGGAACGTTCCAAAAAATGTTAGAATTTTCAGAAGACGGGAATTTCTCAACTCTGGCACGGCATCCAAGAAGCACAAGACGAAATTATTGTAAGCAGCGAATTATCTGATATATCTTAGAGGCTCATTACGAAACGCCAAATCGGGATAGCGGCCTGCAAGAAGGAATGAGAGGGAGATAACTGTCGATCTACTTTCGTGTATCTTCGAGCCAAAAAAGGAGCAGGAAGTTAATTGGGTGGGCTCAGGGCAAACAAAGGACGCCAGGAAAGATGGAGTACCCATGCAAAGCCTCGGGCCAATCCGCGCTGACATATTTCTGGGAAAATCCAAGCCCTAGACGCAGCATTATCGCAGGAGGATGATCAATACGAGGAAAGGTATCAAGAATCCATGACACGGAACATAAATAAACCTGCTGCAAAAAAGGAAGCTAAAGAATTAGAAAAGATAATCGCCTGCCTTCTACAGATGGAATCCAGATGCAAGTTTTTCTGGCGAGAGTATGAAAAGCTAAGGCATATGGTACCTCGAAATGAAGGGGAGGCACCTGCAATATACTACGTTCCTCACCATGCGGTGTTAAAAGAGAAAAGCTCCACCACAACGTTACTGCAAAAAGATTTGTGTGGAAATGGGCCAATAAAAACCTCCAGGTTAACGCCAAAATCTAAGGTGGCCCCGATGAAGAAAACCCTATGGCGGTTGGAGCTCTGTGGAAACTGGAACCAAACAAATCCTCAACCTCAAGATACTCAGCCCCTTTTTGGATGCAATGGGACTACTAAGAGTAGGGGCAGATTAATAAATGCAACCTGCATGTCGACACAAGAAAAACACCCCTTAATAATTCCTCCAAAAAGGCATTTCGCCACACTAATTCGCCTGATAGATACCTGCATGGCGGGAACCAACTCTCATTCCTATTGGTGTGACAAAAATACTGGATACTGCGAGCAACTGATTTGGTCAAACAAGCCACCATCACAGGAGGCTGGAATCGAGCTAGAAACGGAAACATCGAGAACCGTACCGTTTACAAGACAACCTACCTTCCTAATGGTGACCCAAGATATTCAATTGGAAAAGGTTTAAAACGATCTTCAAAATAAGGAAGGATAGCAATGCAATCAAATACGGAAATATGTAGACTACTAGGAACCCAAACGGAAGGCAACAACTACATACTAACGTAATGGACGTAGGTTATGGAAGTAATGTCTGTGAAATAACATGTAAACGCGTACAATAAAAATTATCAGTTAACAATCTTCGAACTGTTGGCAACGTACCGGGTTTGAGATATAAGATACCCGACCGAATTTATATTGTGTACGATTGCTTGGGTGTAGATTAGGCCTTACAACCCTAACGCTACACACGATAATTTGAATTTTTTTTTATTATACCTGAATCACAATCTCCGTTTGAAACACTCAAATGCGTGCGAAAAAAGGCCTTTAAAACACACGTGCTTTAAAGTTGCTAAGCAACGATACTTCAAGTATGACTTTTGAAACTGTCATCTGGGGCTGAAATAAAAAATCCTCTTAGGTCGCTTTCTGTAAATGCAGAACATTTCTTTGGCTTGTACCTATCCTTTGGTTGAAGCTTTTACAAACGCGCGTAATTTAGGGTATGCTTCCAAATCTGTTCCACTTTTTAGTCCCAGCAATAAGTGAAGTTTTGAATTAATGCACCAAAAGATAGAAGATTTAAATACCTTTGACATTTCGTTCATATATGCCAGCATTATCGATGCATTTAAGACTTTATTCGTAAGTAACTTCCTATTGATCCATGGAAACAACTTTTCATATGCTTGATAATAGGCTTTACTGGATTGAGATTTTACATCTACCAACGTTTGTTTAGATTTTACAACAAGCGATTTAATGGACGGTGCATTATCTTTTTCAACGGAAATCGTTTTATTCACAAAAACGACGATTTTTATAAGCAAACGACAAGTGACATTTCCATGGCAATCGTGAAATTTCGAACACCCAGCCCACTTAATTAGACATGTATTCGAGTACGTCAATATGATTTTATTGAATTTCCTATTTTTAAATTATACTGCAGGTATAATAAAAAATACTATAAGATACACGTGTATAATTGGTCTTTAAAGCACTTGCAACGTTAAAGGCACTCCGCTTTGCGTCGTGCCCTTAAACTCGTTGCGCGTGCTTTAAAGACTTGATTATACACTTGTATCTTAATATACTATTATGTAAGTGTAAGGCTTAAAAATGGAATTAAATTTGATTCACTTTCAATGCTAATTAGAAGTATTTGAGCGTTTTTATGTTAATTATTCGAAAACTAATTTATTGGCGAGTGCAAATTCGAGTTCTGAGCGAAAAACTAAAAATGGAAGATTCAAAAACCTCTTTCCTTCTCGCACACGCCGAAATCGAGAGGACCTTTGTGTACGTTGTTTGTTTAGGAATAAATAAAGTGAAAGAATGTGTTGTCGGCGGTCGAATTTAGTTTTTTCAATTGCCTTAACTGGAAATTTTTAACGTAGGTAATTATCACCAATAATAACAAAAACACCTTCTCCTGCAATACTGGGATAATTTTTTGAGCAGCAGAAAATAATAGATTTGAATATCGATCTTTAATCAAAAAGTGAAACAAAATTGATTTTACGTTTGTTCGTTCCGTACTATTGCGTTCTTAACTATAGGCATTGAATTTATATAAATTCAATGCTATAGGTATACTAGACATGGGTGAACGATTAAGGTCATAAAGATGTGCCACATCCGAATTCCTAAGACATACTTACTGCACAGGTACTTTTAAAAACTGGTATTAGTGCTGTAGTAATGAGCCATCCGACTTGAATGATACGGGTACCAATTCTTGTTTTTGGCACTTTCACTGCAATAAAATTTAACGCACGACGAATTAGTATGCGAGAAACTTTGACGTTCACTTATATAAGGATGTCACATTATGGAAACATTACAATTTATATCTTTATGTTTCTATTGTTTAAAATTAACAAAAAAAAAGTTTGATACTCTTATTGCTAAATAAAGACAACACTGAGCAAAAAATGATTACATAGCTACAAAAATTGTGAACAATACAACGACTTAGTTTCACAAATGTTTACATACTAAATATGAAATTTTATACTCCTGCGTTAATTTAATTACTAGGCATTACTCGTCATCAACTTAAAATTGTACATTAAAAAAAACACCAGCACGCGAAATTAAAAAAAAACGTTATTTACAAACAACTAATAGTAATAACTGTACAACAAAAAATCATGTACGACTACCCTACCTACAGCATGTGCCTGTTTTGGAGAAAACCTTTTTTTTGGTATCATGCAGTTAACTATGTTAGATTAGTTTAAAATCAAAGGTCCCTCCCTCTTTTATATTCGCGCATATTTTGTACCCTTTTCCTGTTAAATATTATAAGTAAATGTATCAGTCGTCCGTGGCCGGACATAAGAAAATTGCCAACCATTAATGTCTAATAAATATATCTACACTAAATACGCACACTACTGAAACGCGTATCACTCGAATATTTTAATTTACCTAGATATTGCAAATAGGCCCCATTTTGTTACTATTACGTTTTTACTACGAAGTCACTTGAGCACCAATAAATAAATAACAACAAAGGAATCGTTCCTGAAGTAACATCAGTCGGGTGATTGCTCATCTTCAGTCTTTGAGACAGTCGCACTGTTGCTGTCCGCAGAACCATTAGCTTCAGAAATCGAGGTTCTTTCTAGTTTAGGTTTAAATCTTAAACCTACCCAGTTGGCAAATGTACTCATTGCTATTGTTCCATTCTGATGATGAGCCCGTTGGGCTATTTGTTCCTTTTGCATTTGATAGCGGTACAGCAAGGTACCGGCCACAAGTGCGGATACTACCGCCGCCACTGCTACTAAAACGAATAGAATACTGAAACCAGGCACTGGCATGCAAATTCCGTACACCACTTCCTCGCGTATTCTCCCTTGGAAGACCGTTACTGCTTCCGCACGCGAATCGGGGCTAAAGGCCAAATCGGCCTCTGAGATGACTTCGTATAAGCCACTCACACCAACATCCGCACTGCGCACTTTTCTATCGGCCACTACAATATTCCGCTTCCTTCTTGACTTATTTGTGAAACTTTGTATCGATTCCGTCACCGTTTCTTCGTCGGTGTCATGGGACATGCTTCGTGGGGCGGGCACCGGGATTTCTCCTTGTTTAAATTGGCGTGGTCCGTAAGGGAATTGTTCGTGTCGGGAGTAAGGCTTCTGGAAATTTTGTTAGAGAATTACCTAGGTAATACAAAAGGTGTTACATACCTTGTTGGGCAATTCGGCAATATTTAAAACCGGATCGGAATTCTCTACGACCTCGTAAACGTTAGTGGCCTGAGTAGGCTTTGGCATATCACCACGTAACGGAATCTTCATAGGGGGAAGATTACCCCCAATCGCCGCGCCTTCGTCACCTTCCTGCACGATATCATCATAGCTCGCATCGTCGCGGTTATCAACGGGGTCGGGGAAATCCGCCGTCTCTTTGCTCACATCCTTACGATCGATCGGACCCGAGAAATGACCGTTGTCGAGTTCACCGGCGCCGTGTTGTAACTGACAGTGGTCCAGACACCCGTGCCTACATATCTCCACCTTGCACTTTATGTGAACACTTAGGGCGTCTGGGAATTTGAACGCGTGGAAAAAGGCGTAAGTGATCACCGACGCTCTTTCATCGGCACCTCTTGCCTTTAAGAATCGACTTATCATCTTTGGACGTAGTACGCAACCGAACTCGTCCGACAGCTGAATTACGTGACCCCCACCGTCGGAGGCGATGCAAGATTTCACCCTCATATCAAATTCTCCTGCAATAAAAGTTGGTCTAGACAAAACCCTTGACGGTAGGTACACAAAATTACCTCGATAGTCATTAATTGCCACTACGAGAGTGAGGGTTGATCCCAAAGGAACAATTCCACTAACCGGTGGAGCCCAAGGTCCCTTTCCGTGCTGTATCTCCATCCAACAGTCGACGTTATCGCCTGAACAGGTGAACGTTGTTAGTTTGTTTTGAGGGTCTAAGGACTTACCTCTGAAATCGAGTTGCACTACGTCTAAATCGGCGATGACCATTGGAGGTTTTGAGGCCGTCTTCTCGTAATCGTTGAACCATTCACAACGTAAACGTTTCGCCTCGTCCCACACCTCCAGTAAGTCTTTGTCATATTGCACGACGACCGTATTTTCGTAAAACTGACCGTGCAGATCTGGCTTAGTACCACAACGCGTGTAAGCAATTCGAAATGAAAAAAATGTTTGTCCACTCGACGGCGGCACGTACACACAACGAGGGTCACTGTGCTGACCTTTCGATGACACTATTCCTTCGAACGGATGTGAAAACGATAAATGGACGTCCATGTGATCTTTACCGCACATCACTTCCAAAGACTGAATTGAAGGCATTCCATCCGGCCTGTCCAACGGCCATATATCACCGGCTCCGAGTACGACGTGAATAATCTGAAAAGCATTCAAAGATTATACGGAGAAAAGGTAAAATATTGATGACTTAATGCCACATGAACCGTTAGAGGTAATGCTCAGTTATTAGATTCTTGACCGATGACCTTTAAAGACAACTGGTCAACGTGACACTGCCCTTTGTAATGGTCAAAAGAACCGCGCGAACAGGTAATGTGGGTAAATTTCGGTTCCTTGACCTTTTCGCCTACACGAATTTGGACCGATGCACTTCGTTGACAAAAATGCGTCAGTGAAAGTGCAGTATAGCAAACGATGAATTAACATATTCATTAGAAGCAGAACGTTGGGATATTAGTGGGTCATTAATCAAATCTGTTCCGTCTAGAGCGTTCATTCAAAGCTCGCCTTTTCGAACGTTTATGGAATTCGGTATTGCAGGAATTCGTGATGTAGGTCACCGGTACAAGGAATTTTAACAGCACTGCGGACCAAACCCACTAACTACCAATTTAGAATTTCAATAAACTGTATTTCATTCGAGCTTAGTGTGACCTAGAAATTTACAGTGGGCTATTTAACGATCATCAACGCATTACAAAGTAGCTACAATTCATTCGCTGTCTCGGCGGAAGAACAAGATTGCGAAACGCATTTCGTGTTATTCGACATTGTATTCTACACAATGGGTAGACAAATGTCCAGTTGTAGATAAGTACGTGTCGTAATGTGTGGGAAATGCTACGATTGGTGTAGATTTCAACAAAGTTGTGAAACGGGTCAAAAACCCGCTGGCTATCGCCGCACCCGTTGTGGTCTTGCTTGCTATTAGCATTACTAATGTTGAATGGACTCAGAATTTTTAAGCTTTAGGTCTTATACGTCGCCGTTTTGTTCTTCGCTTGCCTCGAAAACTGAATGTATGCAGCACGTGACATAGAAACGGACAGGAGAAGAAACGGGAAGTTTCATTAGCTGTAGAATGTCAAAAGGAAGTTAATATTTATTCAGTAATTTTTGCGTGTGGATATGTAAAATCAAATACAGACACCGTTAATTTACTAATTCGAAAGCCTACCTAGATAAGATGTACAACAAACAACCATAGACTAATTGACTAGTACTACAGTGTATTGAATGGCAAATTGTTATTTTAGAAAACTGGAACGATAAGCACTTAGGTGTGACCAAGGTTAAGTAATTAACGTGGATGCATTATTTGTACTTCATTATTACGCTACGCCGCCTGAGCTTTAACTCCCGTTATAAAGTCTTACATCCTCGGCAGATTTTGAAAGCTTCCCAAACGCTGTAATTACCAAACGAAGTTGACATGAATTTTACATTAAGTTGGGAGTTAATTAAAGTACAAAGGAGAACAAAAATTGATACTTGGGTATTGATTATGGCTTGTGCAAATTCAAAACTTCAATAAAGACCCTGTTTCCTGTGAGATCATTCACGAGTCCTTTGGTACATGATTTACATGTCCCTTTTGTTCGTGCATCTTATACTTCGATATCTGAGATACAAGAAAACGATAATTGTGTCCTTTTTGTAACTACATATTTCTTTAAAAATCCGTTAAAACCTCTAAAATAGGTATACATCTAAACTCGCGCCGCCCTTAGCAAAATCTCTTTATGACATTTTACATGTCCGATAGCTTCGATGGTGGTCAACGTTAGGTTTCTGATAAAAGATATGATATGATATGAGCTATCGTATATTGTGTTATTGTTATATAACTTTTTTTTTTATTTCCTTATATTCGTACACATTATAAATTATGGGACCAACATAACGAAAAGGTTTTCGAAAGGTCGTAAAATTGGGTTTCAGCGGTTTTACTTTATTCTTATCCTTACCTCGCGTATGCCTTTCATATTTGTTACTTCTAAAACACTCGGACCTTTCGAAGAACTCTTTCAGTACTTTGTAAATAAATAAATTTTAACTTTGAAATATGGGGAAAGAGAGGGCTAATTTATTTTGAAATGTAATAATTTCTTACCGCGTCTATTAATTAATGTACGTAGTGAGGTACCATAAGCAGCGCCCCAGCAAGCAATCTCTTACTGAATGAATAGTATACGGTCTTTAGTGCACCTAGGGTCAAAAAGTTTCTTAAATAATATAATTTTTAATCCTTTTCCCTAATTGCAGTTGTATTATTTCGTATTGACAGAGTTGCTTATTGGTACAACTGGGACTATGATACTTCACTACCAAATCAGTGGATGGGGATTCACCTTTGAGATTAAAATATCCTATTTTAGTTTTTGTGATATTAATATTCACTTTATTTGCAGCAATTACCTACTAATTTTGTTGACATCTTTTTGAATAAAATTTGTTAAGGCAGACCAATCGGCAGCACCGTACAACAACGTTTTGTCGTCCGCAAAAGCTGTTAACCGTCCACAAAATTTTGATGTTTAAAGAATCAAATGCTTTTTGAACATCAATAAAGTATCCGGCTGACTCTAACCGATTAGTAATATTACTGTAAAGTACAGCCATAGTAGGGATTAATACTTTTTTAGTACCAAGACCTTTAATGAAACCGAATTGATTCTTTGATCCGTGATATCTACGAAATCATTGCAAAATCGTGATGAAATCTACGAAATCATAGTGAAATCTTGATGAAATCCGTGAAATCTTAATGAAATCCGTGAAATTTTGACGAAATCCGCGATATCCACGAAATTATAGTGAAATCGTGATGAAATCTACAAAATCATACCTTAATCTTGATGAAATCCGTAAAATCTTTATTAAATCTACGAAATCATAGTGAAATCTCGATGAAATCCCTGAAATCTGGATGAAATCCACGAAATCGTAGAGAAATCTCATTGAAACCCGTGACATCTGCATGAAATCCGTAAAATCTTGGCGAAATCCTCGAAATAATAGTGAAATTTTGATGAAATCCGCGATATCCACGAAATCATAGTTAAATCGTGATGAAATCCATAAAATCTTAATTAAATCTACGTAATTATAGAGAAATCTCAATGAAACCCGTGACATCTCGATGAAATCCGTTAAATCTTGGTGAAATCCACGAAATAATAGTGAAATTTTGATGAAATCCGCGATATCCACGAAATCATAGTTAAATCGTGATGAAATTCGTAAAATCTTAATTAAATCTACGTAATTATAGAGAAATCTCAATGAAACCCGTGACATCTCGATGAAATCCGTTAAATCTTGGTGAAATCCACGAAATAATAGTGAAATGTTGATGAAATCCGCGTTATCCACGAAATCATAGTTAAATCGTGATGAAATCCGTAAAATCTTGATTAAATCTACGAAATCATAGTGAAATCACAATGAAACCCGTGACATCTCGATGAAATCCGTAAAATCTTGGTGAAATCCTCGAAATAATAGTGAAATTTTGATGAAATCCGCCATATCCACGAAATCATAGTTAAATCGTGATGAAATTCGTAAAATCTTAATTAAATCTACGTAATTATAGAGAAATCTCAATGAAACCCGTGACATCTCGATGAAATCCGTTAAATCTTGGTGAAATCCACGAAATAATAGTGAAATGTTGATGAAATCCGCGTTATCCACGAAATCATAGTTAAATCGTGATGAAATCCGTAAAATCTTAATTAAATCTACGTAGTTATAGTGAAATCTCATTGAAACCCGTGACATCTCGATGAAATCCGTAAAATCTTGATTAAATCTACGAAATCATAGTGAAATCTCAATGAAACCCGTGACATCTCGATGAAATCCGTAAAATCTTGGTGAAATCCTCGAAATAATAGTGAAATTTTGATGAAATCCGCCATATCCACGAAATCATAGTTAAATCGTGATGAAATTCGTAAAATCTTAATTAAATCTACGTAATTATAGAGAAATCTCAATGAAACCCGTGACATCTCGATGAAATTCGTTAAATCTTGGTGAAATCCTCGATATCCACGAAATCATAGTGAAATCAGAATGAAATTCACGTAATCGTAGAGAAATCTCATTGAAACCCGTGACATCTCGATGAAATCCGTTAAATCTTGGTGAAATCCACGAAATAATAGTGAAATGTTGATGAAATCCGCGTTATGCACGAAATCATAGTTAAATCGTGATGAAATTCGTAAAATCTTAATTAAATCTACGTAATTATAGAGAAATCTCAATGAAACCCGTGACATCTCGATGAAATTCGTTAAATCTTGGTGAAATCCTCGATATCCACGAAATCATAGTGAAATCAGAATGAAATTCACGTAATCGTAGAGAAATCTCATTGAAACCCGTGACATCTCGATGAAATCCGTAAAATCTTGGTGAAATCCTCGAAATAATAGTGAAATTTTGATGAAATCCGCCATATCCACGAAATCATAGTTAAATCGTGATGAAATTCGTAAAATCTTAATTAAATCTACGTAATTATAGAGAAATCTCAATGAAACCCGTGACATCTCGATGAAATCCGTTAAATCTTGGTGAAATCCACGAAATAATAGTGAAATGTTGATGAAATCCGCGTTATCCACGAAATCATAGTTAAATCGTGATGAAATCCAACGAAATCATAGTGAAATCTCAATGAAACCCGTGACATCTCGATGAAATCCGTAAAATCTTGGTGAAATCCTCGAAATAATAGTGAAATTTTGATGAAATCCGCGATATCCACGAAATCATAGTTAAATCGTGATGAAATTCGTAAAATCTTAATTAAATCTACGTAATTATAGAGAAATCTCAACCCGTGACATCTCGATGAAATTCGTTAAATCTTGGTAAAATCCTCGATATCCACGAAATCATAGTGAAATCAGAATGAAATCCACGTAATCGTAGAGAAATCTCATTGAAACCCGTGACATCTCGATAAAATCCGTAAAATCTTGGGGAAATCCTCGAAATAATAGTGAAATATTGATGAAATCCGTGAAATTTTGATGAAATCCGGGATATCCACGAAACCATAGTGAAATCGTGATAAAATCCACGAAATCGTAGAGAAATATGTGAATTGTTTGTGAAGTTTATTTGTGTTTTCAATAAACCACAGACGAAATTTGGTGGTCAAATCCGTAAGATTTCAATGAAATCTGTGAAATATGGATTATAGTGTAAGTCTCGATGAAATTTGTGACATCGTAATGAAATCCGTAAAATCTTACATTAATACATTAATAATTACAACATTATGTAGCGTTACACAAATTCACAGCCTTTATGCTCATTAAAAAGTTGAGTGTCCCAAATTGAAAAAAAAGTTTCTTTACTGGAAAACATGAAGTCGTTTTTGAGCTATTGTGGCCCTTTTAGCTCCTTGCGGACCGAAAAATGAATAAAAAATTCCCAACTCTTTTATTTGTTGAGATATCGACTTGCGGTTTGTTAGACAGAGGAAGGATTCTAGCGTATAGTGTAGAAAAGTGGGTCACCTGGCACTTTCGGTTCGGGAACAGCTCTGTCCCTTTTCTTACGAACCGTTTTCCGTAAGGGGCTGATATTTTTACACCCCCGCATGTCGATACCTCAAAAATGATGAAGTTGAGAGTTCAAAAGAGGGGGCCTAAAACGTCCATCAACTTTTACCACAGAACACAATGAAATGCCTTTATCAGATCAAAGAAACACAAACTCAGATTTCTTCCTTTTTCCATATATATTTCATCTATTGTTCTTTCACATCCAATCGCATTTCTTGTTCCCATCACTCTTCTAAATCCACATTGGTCTTCTGCCACATTTTCTTCCATTCTCCTTTCGAGCATTCTATTTAACACTCTCAACACTATTTTCTCATGAGCTATCCATAGGATTTGGACTTTTTTTTTAATGTACGTCTTTCCGAGAACTTTCCATTCGTCTATTATAGAGTTACATTTCTCGTTATATTTCGGAAATTATTCGGATTCCTCGGATTTTGAAAAAAAAATTGGAGTCATCCAGTTTAAAAGACAAAGCATCGTTTTTTTCATTTGTTTATTTAATTAATGACTATCATAACTACGGAGATCGGGTGTCTCATATTATTTTGTTATCAAAAGAAGTGATCAAATACGGATTTTCAAAAAAATCGGATGATTTGTTAATTTTCGAGATTACTTTTTTTAAATTTTTCCATAAAAAACAATAACATTTGAAAATGAACGTTCCATACCAACTCCACGGGATTTTACATGTTACTCTGCCTAGATCTCAACGGGACGTTGTGGCGAGATAAAGCATCGTTCTTAGGGTATGGGTCTATCTGTTGAGTAATTTAGTAGTTAGTGTAAGCATGCCCACTGGTCATCGGAAGTGCTTTAAATCAGGTCCTTTTCTCCTTAGCTCTCTATCCAGACATATTAACTACACTTAAAGCATTGCTAAAAAGACGTATTACCTATTGTCCATTTTTCAGAAATAAAGATTGAAATAGTTCACGTGAAATTTTCTTAAATTGTATGACGTCATTATGCTGTTAGTGTAACAATCAAGGTCCTATGTATACTCAAAGTAGGAACTCCTCCTCTGTGCCCACTGGATCATTAACAAAATATTCACCTCATTAGACTAGCTTAGCTCCATGACTCGGGGCTTCCTTCCGAAATGTTTGTTCAATAAAAGTTGGATATTAACCAATTCACACATTTAATTGTTTAATTAAAACTATTTAATAAAACGGTGAAAGGTACAGAGTAATTGACTTAGTTGGTAATAAGCAGAAATCATATTTTCTACGCTCTATCAGCGTGGTGTGACGTTGCCTACCATTATATGATCATCAGAAACACGTTCATCTACTTGCGGTTATAATTAAGGCGTTTGATTTACATAAATTCTCATTCATCCTGTTTTAGATACATACTCGTTCATACAAACACAGAACTTGGTAGACTAGGAAATGCTTTACATCTATCTCCAATTATTGAAATTTGACTTACAGCCAGAAGGTAACATGAGATGCAACAAATGACTGGCGTTGGTGATAGTCGCCACAGTTGGTTTTGAAAGCTCCCCATCTTTGGACGGCCCTGTAACAAAAACGGAGGTTAGCAAAATTGACGACTTCTCGACATGCTTTTCGCGCATAAAATTCGCTCTAGATTTGTTTCCCGAGGAATAGGTAAAGATCATGGTAATGTACACTTGACGTTTGGGTATGGTACTAATTAAAATAACCGTACTGGTCACATATATGTGCAGCGGAGCATCGTGGCCCGGTCCAGCCCGGTGTCAATAACCAAAGGAGCCCGCAGGCAGCCGCACAATAGCGGTCATGTGAATCGCCGACCAAACCAGCCACACGCAACTTTATACCGTGAACACGTGTTGTGTGTAATTGGCATTGATTATTGGACACTGGTCATCATTCAACATCGTCTCTTCTTATCGTTTTTCAACCAATCATTTCCAGTCCATATGATTCATGTAACCATAACGTACCTACCCAATCGAAAGGGAATCCTCGTGCCAAGCAAATGAAGCGTAAAATCATTACTCGCCCTACCTATTTATCTGTGTACGTCTTCTAACAGCCAATTAATTAATACACTTGCAAATTAAATGGTAATTAACATGCGCCAACTGATGTAGTAATGATACAATCAGGAAGTCGTAAGGCGTAATTGGCTAGGAATTATATTGGAGGCGCTTGGTTTGTTTGTTATTATCCATTTTTATGCATACCTAATTCTGCTAACTATCTCATTAATTTAGTATGAAATGGTATTAGATCGCGGAATGAAGTTACTACTTTTCCAATAATTAAGCCTTTTAGTGGAAGTGGAGGAAAGGATATGAGGTTGTCACGTGCACCAAATTGTTGTAATTATGTCCTTGCGCCCATTTCTTCAACGATGCGTGTGTTTTTTGTCGTTTCCTCAGCGAAGTTATTAACTACGCGAATGAGAAAATGGTACAAAATTTATATTACCGGTATAATATGCCCAGCAGTCTTTACCGTTTTACTTTTACTATTATTACACTATTTTATTATTATTACGATACTTATTTGTATATGGTGAATCTTATAACAGTCTTAGATGACTGGAAATCTAAGCTTGAAGGTTAATGGCATATTAAGGCTGTTACCGTTCTTAATCAAAAGAGCAATTTTTACAGCGCATTCTGTACGGCATATCCGAGGTCTCGATCTTCCAAGGACCCTCCACACACAAAAATCCCTTATACTTGTCTAATTAATTCCGGGGAACCTACATACGTAGCTATTGATCCTTTCGTTTTTAAAAACCATGGATAAGTAAAGAGCATAGATTTTTCGAAGTAAACCAAGGATAAAAAACGTTTCACTTTATTTCTTTTTAAATTGTTTATGTCATTCCAAAAATTTTTCTAAAATTGCCGAATTATAGATTAATATCTACTTGAATATATTGGTAGATATGTTTTATAGTGTTGAGGGAGGCTAAAAGAGGAACAAATTGGAATTTTTGGGGCGTGGTTCCCAAACAATACATTTTTTACTCCCAGTTTATTTGCAAATAAATGTTCTTGCTCCTGTATGTCTTCAAATTGAACTTTTTTGAAACAATACATTTTCTAGTTTCTCCTAACAGGTCCATTGCTCGGAATCTGCGCATTTTTTTAAACGAGAATAAATCGGTAAATTGTGTTTTCACTATTTTTCTTCCAAGATTCAGTATTGTATTAATAGTCCATTCCTGAATTTTAATGATTTCGCTGTTATAACTTTTTTTGGCGTCTGCGTTTTTGAATTCTTCCATTTTCACATAATTTTGGTTAGGTCCTTTATCGAAAAAAGAAAATTTTTGATCGACCCTCGCTAAATGTCATATTGTTTTTAAATTTCAAATGACACCCTCCCTAAACAAATTATAGCTCTGCATAGCAGAAACTACACCATTTCCACAAAAATTTTCACTTTCTACCAAGCACCATCTACCATCTGACAGTTTTTGAATTTTATCGTTTCCGCTTTTATGCATTTTGTTAAATGAGAAAGCGCATGCTACGCCACTGGAAACCTTTTCGCTGGGAATGCAGCAATTCAAATTGCACAAGGACGAAGGCTCGCGGGTGGGTGCGCATTCTTTGGCTTTCCCCATGCACGAAAAGGAAAGTAGCGAAGTTTTAGCTGTGTTTGATTACTGTAAGTAGCATAGGATATGTTTGATTTTATAAATTTGAATTTGCAAGAACATTCCGGAATATTCGTAAAATCAATTAACAGTTGAGGAAGTGGTCTTACTGAGTGGTAGTTTCTATTTGATATAGGTAACGCGTACGTAGTTTTGCAATGTCCGGAGAAGTTCATTGGAATTGTCGCTCCATTTACGTTTATAGAAATTGCGAGTTAGGAAAATTCCTTTAGGTAGCTTAATTAATTTGTATTCGTTGACGTCAGAGTTAGATTTATTATTTGTTAAGGAGAGAATGAAAACTACTAATGGGTGTTCATCCAATTTGGGGCATATTATAGTTTTTGATGCGTAGGTAGTCAAAGTGGAACTTCCCATAGGTGTGGATGCTTTCATTTGAGATTTATTTAATTTTCATTTCATTTTGATATTTATTCAATTTAGAGTATCGTAGGGATACTACTTTTGTTATTGGATTGTATGATGGATCGGGGCTTTTGTTGATTTTATCGGGAAGAGGGGGGGGGGGTAATATACAGGGTGACACTTTTAAAACCTTCAATGGGCGATATCGTTTTTTATATTAGAGGTATCACAAAATGGCCAAAACCGTTTCGGTAGAATCGAGGGGGAACCAAAATGGTCATATAAAGAAGGAACCAACTTCAACCTCGTACCCCCCGCCTCCCCCATGCCTAAATTTTGATTTGTGATGTATCACTTGTGATACATCATTGGAAAGCTCTTAAAAAATGCTTTTCAGAAATACCAACACTGGTACATTTAAACTGCCCATTCACAATTTATTACACTAAAATTTGAACGCAAATAGACAACTTTTATTTAATAAAATGTTCAAAATGTTCACCGTTTTGTTCTAAACAATACCACAAACGGTCTTCAAATTCATTTCTAACATTTTTAAACACTTCCCTGGAAAGTGAACGGCACTCCCTGACTATCCGGTAGCGAAGATCATTTATGGAAGCTGGTTCAGTTTTGTACACAACCGATTTTAAATGACCCCAAAGAAAGAAATCCAATGGTGTCAGATCTGGAGATCGTGCTGGCCATTCTTCGTCCTATCCACTGTCCCGGAAATTTCTCATCTAAAAATTCACGAACAGCCATAGAGTAATGAGGAGGAGCCCCATCTTGTTGAAAATGTATGAAATCTTCAATCAAATTCATGTTTCCGGCTCGACGGTATTGTGTAGCATGTTTAGGTAAGTATCTCCAGTTAAATTTCCTTCGATAAACAGAGGACCAATAATGCTATCACCTAAGATACCTGCCCAGACGTTAATTTTTTGGGGCCGTTGAGTATGCACCTCGCGAAAAAGATGAGGATTTTTATCGTCCCAATACCGGCAGTTATGTTTGTTCACATTTCCATTTAAAAAGAATGTACATTCATCACTAAAACAAATGTTTTTCACCAGTTCCGGATTATTTTGAATATTCTCGGTCATTATTTCACAAAATTGGATTCTTCGATCGGAGTCGTCTTCGGTTAGTTCCTGTACAATCTGCATCTTATAAGGGTAGAATTTGTGCACCTTAAGAGTTCGTCGTACAGTTTCTCGCGAAAGTCCGGTCATAGTCGCTGCTTTTCGAATAGATGATGTTGGGTTTGCACCAAAATGACCTAAAACTTCAATCTGAGTAGCTTCATCCATTATTCTTGGTCCGTCTCTTTTCTTATTTTCCACTGACCCAGTTTCTTCAAATTTAGTCACTAACATTGCAACATAAGTGTGACTGACACGTCGTTCTGGGTGTCGGGCATTAAAAACAGCTGCTGTTCTAAATGCAGATCGCGCTTCAGAACCATAGATGAAAATAATTTCAACTCTTTCGGCTAACGTGTACACCATTATGAAATCTTTAGTTAAATTCAAAATTTGTAATTTTCTTGCCAAGAAATACTAAAAACGAGACTAAAATAATAATAACCGATCAACAAATAAAGCAATAGAAAATTATTATTTACTAAAAATTGCTGTCATTGTTTTTCCAAAGCATCACTAGATCTAAGAAATTTTTTTTTATTTCAAACACTGACAAATTCATCACATACTCAAATTACTCATTTTTATTACATAAATTGTGAATGGGGAGTTTAAATGCACCAGTGTTGGTATTTCTGAAAAGCATTTTTTAAGAGCTTTCCAATGATGTATCACAAGTGATACGAGGTTGAAGTTGGTTCCTTCTTTATACGACCATTTTGCTTCCCCCTCGATTCTACCGAAACGGTTTTGGCCATTTTGTGATACCTCTAATATAAAAAACGATATCGCCCATTGAAAGTTTTAAAAGTGTCACCCTGTATTTGTTGAATTTGAATGCGAGCTGATTTAATTAGGTTCAAACGGTGCACAAAAAATTCCCCTACTGAAAATCGTATGCGATTCTTCGTATCTTGTTTTATATTAAAGTAAAGCTTTTTTTTCTTTCTTGTAATCAATGAAGTCCCTAGAGCTATTCTCGTGTGATTAAGAATAACTTTGATTTGAATTTGGATTTGATTGTTTTTGTTGTTTTAACGTTTTTAATTAAATTTCACTTTTCCAATTTCTTCCGTGTTATTTATGCTGGCCGATCCTTAGAGCGGCACGCACAAGCAACTTTCGCAGACAATCACTAGACAATTTTATGACTTGATTTCCTAGTTAGTTTTGGTGTGACTTTTGATTTTTGATTTGGTGTTGCACGGTAATCTGCTGGCTGGACTTGGATCATTACAGAGTGCGTGATGTTTTGTTTCAGTGGAAATTTTGTAGTTTCGGCAATCCAGAGCTTTGAGTAATATTTTCAATAAACCACTTGCTCTATTATCTTCATTATCTTTATTTAAATTCAAAAAGCTTCCATTGATAATAGAACATTATTGAGATATTTAACAAAAT